TACATTAACAGTGTGTAATCAGTGTATAGATAGACAAATAGATCAATGGAACAGGATGGAGAGTTCAGAAATAGACTCATACATGTATGATCAATTGATATTTGACAAAAATACAAAGGCAATTCAGCGGAGAAGAAAGGTAGTCTTTTCAACAAGTGGGGCTGTAACAATGAACATCTACATATTAAAAAATGGACATAGACCCATACCTTGAACCATATACAAACATTAAGTCAAAATTGATCATAGATATAAATATAAAACCTAAGATTATTAACTTCTAGACGAAAATATAGGAGAAAATCTTTGTGACCTTAGATTAGGCAAAGATTTTTAGATATACACCAAAAGCATGATTTACAAAAGAAAACTTGAAAACTAGGATATTATCAAAATTAAAAGTTTCTGTTCTTCAAAAGATATTAAGAGAATGAAAAGACAAGCCATATACTGGAGGAAAATATTTGGGAATCATTTATGTGATAAAGGAGTTCTACCCATATATATAAAGAACTCCCCAAACTTAACAAGAAGATACCCAATTTTAAAAATGGATCAACAACTTGAACATTTAACCAGACAAGATATGCAGATGGTAATAAGCACTTTTAAAGATGCTTAAGATGCCACTCCATACCCATTAGAATGTCTAAAATTTGGCAAGTTACCATGCCAAATAAGCCACAGTGAGGATGTGGAACAGCTGGAATACTCCACATTTACTGCTGATGGGAAGGGAAAATGGTGCAGACACAGACCTGCCATGTGCCATGGCCATTCTACTCCTAAGTAATTACTCAAGAGTAATAAAAGTACTTCCATACAAAACTTGTACGTGAATGTTCTTAGCAGCTTTATTTGTAACATCTAAAGACTGAGAGCAACCTAAGTGTCCCTCAAGTAGTCAATGTAGTTTTAGTTGTGGTATGCCCATACATTGGAATACTACTTAGAAGTAAAAGGGAAAATGGATGCTGTATTTTTATACAGGGTGGGGCAAAAGTAGGTTTATAGTTGTGAGTACACTAAGCACAGAGCTTATTCTTGTATTATTATTTATTAGTTATTGTATTATTTTCCAAAGAACAACTGTAAACTTACTTTGCCCCACCCTGTATGTACAACATGAGGGAATCTCAAAATAATTATTCTGACTGAAAGAAGCCAAACAAAAAAAGATTACATTGGTATGATACCATTCATATAAAATTGGAGAAAATGCAAATTAATCTGTAGTGACAGGAAGGTAATCTGATGCCTGGAAGTACAGAGAATTGGGAACATTTATAATTGGGATTAAAAGTGAGGAGGATATTTTTAGGGATAATCGTTATGTTTGATATCTTGATTGTGTTAATGGTTTCAGGTAGCAGAACTTACCAAATTGTTTAAACATGTATAGTTTCTTGTATGTCAATTATACTTGAATTTTAAAAAGTAATAAAGGATGCATGGTGGTTGTCACAATGCTAAGGGCTCATGACATGATTTGGCCACTCTTGGACAACCTCGAAAGTGAGATTTTGCTTGATGGTACAGGTCATGTGGATTTACATTTTCAATTGTGACCATGTAGATCATCATTAGCTGTGAGGGCATAGGAGAAGTGAGGAAATGCTATCACTGGATACTGGTTGTAGTAATATGGTTAATGTGGACCTTTGATGAATCTTATAATGACATTTCAGAGTCACTCTTTTAAATCTGTCCTCAAATTTTGGGGTCATGAGATGGATGCCAGACACCATGTTTCATGATACTTATTCACACTTCTAGTTAATGAGTAAATATAGCCAGAAGACATGGTTTATCTTAATAAGAGAGAATTCTGATTTCCAAATCACATTTCTGAGCCTTCATTAGAAAATACAGTAAAGTTCCACCCCTATCATTTAATTTCCATTAGTGGATGCCTTTCATCCAAGGATTCTCAAAGTCATTTAGTGTCCAAAGTCTGTGATATACCACCTTTCAGTCTGACAGGTGCAATAAAAGCAAATTAAGTGACTTCCAGGGATCACAGTGCAATTCTGTGACTGCAAATCTGTGTGTGTGTGAGTGCACGTGAGTGCAGGTGTCGTGGGTAGTCAGGCAAGGTACAAACAACACCAGCTTGCTTGATATTGTTGCTTTGTTCTGTTTTTCAAGTAGGCCAGATATTTTTATGAAAGGGTATGTCATGGGCAAATCACAAAGACTGTGCAAGAGTGCCCCATGACCAGAGAAGAAATAAACATCTAACAGGATAGTCTATCCCAAACTTCTCTTCCCTAAAGAGTGTCCCTTTCTTTGGGGCATGGTTAGTATTCATCAGGCTTTTGGTACTGCTTTTGATTCACATTGATTTATCTTATACTCAGCATCTACTATGTTGCAAGCATTTGGCCAAACTCTTAGCATACATTTAGTTCCATCATCTCTACAACTGAGTAAAATTAGACTTGCTTAGTTTAAATACCTTTTCCAGGGTCAAACAGGTAGTTAAGTAACGGAGTCTGGATTTGAAACTAGAGTATTGGAGGCAGACAGACCTGGGTTTTTCTACAAATAGCTGTGGGACCTTGGGCAAGTTACTTAATTACATTTGAGAATTGATGCCCTCATCTATAAGAGAGCATTATAATATTTACATTATAGGGAAGTTGTGTTGCAAGTCTCATAGCACATCATAGATGCTCAGGAAATGCTATTTCATTTGCCTCCCAACCCCTTCTGGTTCTAGACCCTTTGCCTTCCCCAGTGTGTCAGTCTCAACCACATGGCACCGAGTCCTCCTGGCTGTTGCCTGTGGAGTTATCCACTCAGTGCAGATCTCATGCAAGAGCTGCCTGCTCAGAAGATGGTGAGTCCCTCGAAGACAGAGACCATCTCAGACTTAACTCTGTTCCTCCATTGTCCAGCACAGAGTCAAGTAGATGCTTATGAATTAAATTGACAGGTGTCATTCAAGAAATCCTTTCCAGCACCTTCAGAGCATTTTTTGCAACATATGTCCCACATCCCAGATCCTGCCTGCCTACTCTGTCTTCATTCCAGACACCACTGATTCCCTGTCGTTTGGCCATCATTTGACTTGAAGAGCTCCAATCCCCCTGGGTGGTAGCACAGCCCGTGTCTGTGTGGTGTCACATGGCTGTGACTACTGTGAGTGATCCACTAAGCTGGCTATGGTTTTGTGATGGGCCTGTGCCCACCCTGCAGATGTTCTCACATCTGGACAGGTGTCCTGCTCTCAGAACCGTCTCTGGACCTTAATGTTTTGTTGATATTCTACCCTGTCTCAATCCAGTTTATAAGGCTGCCTGTTACTCATTCAGTCAATGGACATATAGCCTCATGTTTGCAATGATTTTTTAATAATATTTTTATCGATTTTAGAGAGAGGAAGGGAGAGAGAGAGAGAAACATAATGTGAGAGAGAAACATCAATCGGTTGCCTTCCACATGCTCCCTGACCAAGGATCGAACCCACAACCTGGGTATGTGCCCTGACTGATATTCAAACCCACCACCTATTGGTGTATGAGATGACACTTAAACTAACTGAGCCACCCTGGACAGAGCAATCATTTTTTTTTCTTTTCCTATTTTTCTTCTTAATCTAGTATCTAGTGTCTCCTCTTCCAATGCCATATTGGCATTTCTGACTTCCAGGTATCATCCATGAACCTATAGGAATCCATTGTGTTCTATGTATTTCCATTGAAAATATTTAAGGTTCTTTTGCCACATGGCATAACACTGTGCATGGTTCTTTGGTGGATAACTTTGGAGCTGAAAAGTCAGCATCAGTTGGGGTATTGCCTTTGAAGAGTTTAGCTCTTCTGAGATTTAGGCAACTGAGTATTCCAGCCTAATTGTTTCTGGACAGATGCCCTCCTCCCTCTCAGTTGCTATACTTGGCAATCTGCTTATGCCGGGTCTTTAGGCCAAATTATATGCCTAATGTAGTCCAACGTCCGACAGGAATACAAAAGCTAGAGAATTCAGGTCATAACTGAAGGATTGTTTCTTGACTAGGGTATCACATGAATTCCATGCCTTCCATGGGTATCCTGACTATTTAGAGTGTTTGTAAGCTGAGCCCCAGAGTTTCCCCATCGCAGTGGAAATGTTCCTGTCCCTGTACTCAGTTTCTGAAGCCCAGTGATTTAAGTGAAAGCTGTGAAGACACTGAAGAGCACTGTCTTCTCTGGCTTTTCTGGCAGACACCTGATTTCCTGTTGGCACTTATTTCATCCATGAAATGAGAAAAGGTGGGAGGGAGAAGATTGGGCATTTTTCTGCTCCTAATTTTGAATAATTGTCCATGAGTGTCTCTCACAGTGTCTCAGAGCTTATTTATGGCTCTCTGTAGTGTTCTTCATGGGGCTGGAGCGCATTCAGACAGTGTGTCGGCATGTCTTCTCCGATTGTTTGGAATAACTGTGATATTAGAGTTTCAGGAAAATAGTATGAAAAAGGCTTCATCTTTGCATGTTAAGTATTTTTTATCCTAACAGTCAAAAGAACATTTGAAAGGCCTTTTTCATTTTTGTGAATGAACACATAAAATAATTTACCCTGAGAGAGCTTTTTGTTGCATAGGAAATCAATTCAATATCAGGTCAAATGGAGATATTGACCCACTATTGCTTTAATTTCCCATGCAACATGGGAAGTGTTTTGACCTCTGCCCCACTCTTTTCCCATTGCTTCCAATTGTCTCTTCTCTGTTGTGCTTGCATGTATTGAGATCCTGCCTATCCCTAAAATGCAAATAAAGTATTTGTGAATGTAATTATAATTTTCAAACAGTAGATGTACTCATTAATATGGTTTTGCAGAAAATAGTTTTCTTATGTGAGAAGAAACATCTTAATGTAATTTTGTATTCTGGATTTTTTTTTTTTTTACATGCCAAGATGACTTAGCACAGCCCTCCTTCCTGAATTTGGGAAGATTTACTTCAGGTCTTCCAGTTTCATGGTAGCAATCATGCTCTCTCTGTTTTCTCCTAGGGGTCATCTCTACTGCAGACATTCTGGATCGAGAGACAACAGGGTCCTACTGGCTGACAGTGTATGCCACAGACCGGGGGGTAGTTCCACTCTATTCCACTATCGAAGTCTACATCGAAATTGAGGATGTGAATGACAATGCCCCGTTGACCTCCGAACCTATTTATTATCCTGTCGTCATGGAAAACTCTCCCAAGGATGTATCTGTCATTCAGATTCAGGCTGAGGATCCTGACTCTAGTTCCAATGAAAAGCTGACATACAGGATTACAAGTGGAAATCCTCAGAATTTTTTTGCCATCAATATCAAAACAGGTATGGAAGTGCTCATATGACTTTTTAAAATTGGTATTCCAATTTTTAAATCCATCAGCCTGACACTTGCTTACTTTTATTATTTTATTTATCCCCTTATTTATTTTATTGTGTGGAGAACAGCATCCTTCTCTCTGGGGGGCAGTTTCTGAAAAGCTGAGCATCCTATTGTCTGGTTAATGTTTTAATTTCAACTGATACCAAGGTGAAGTGATCTAATAAAAATTAAAGGCTTTCATAGAAAGCCTTAGATTTGCTTTGCTCAAAATAATAAAAAGTGGTTTCCAGGATACTCAGAGGGCCAACTGCCGCCTTTCTGTTTCTTGGGAGAGAGTAACCCGGCCATGGGTAAGCTGGCTGTGGCACCCTCCTTCTCAGAACTCCCCTGTTGCTTGGTTTTAGTCCAGCTTGCTATATATGATCTCCTTAAATCCTTAACTTTAAGCTTCAATTTTTATTTCTCTGTGTGATTCCTGTGCCTACCTGTCAATGAAGTGTCAATGTTTAGAAGACCTTGTGGTGTCTCCATCTTTACACAGAGTATACAAAATTTTAATTTTCTGGCCTTTTGCTCAAAACATTTCTAGAGATCATAATGAAAACTTAATTTTTTGAGTAAGGATCAGAAAGGGCAGGTGTGGAGTTTGGTTGGACGCATTCTGAGACAAGTACGTATACTGGAGAGTGCTTTGTAGAGTGAATCTTGGTTTGTTGCTTTCTTGTGATTTGCTGCTTCTAGGTCTTAACACAGGAGTAAAACTCTCAGTGAGAGTTGTGATGGATAAAGTTTTAATTAATTGAAGTTTAGAAGAATGTAAAAATAAAAGATACTATTGCTATCTTACCCTGGGCAAGTGAGTTGATACTGGTCAAAGTTAGCATAGGTTGGTATTTGTTGTTGTGGACATGCTCAAGTTTCCAGTCAAACTGCTGATCATGTTGATAGTTATTTCTCTTGCCTATGTTTGTTTAAGTAGAAACATATAGCTGACCCCAAGCATTTTATAAATGTGAGGTTCCCATTAACATAATTTGAAGAGAATGCCAAGTTTTTTGGGAAACTATTGATTTTCTCTAATTATGATTGAATCAGTCATTTTGTTAAGCAGAGTTTAGCATTCTAACAGTGTTGAATTAAGATTTGAATTGCATTGCATTATAAGACAAAGAGTGGTCATCAGCTATCAGTTCTGACTGAGGGCTGCTTGAACTTGAAGGAGAAGTCTCAGAGATTTGGAGCTTAGCCCAACCTTTCAGAGCCCCATTAAGTAGGGAAAACTGCTCCTGCACATGAAGAACCCCTGAGCTGTGCTGAGAAAAGGCCCTCCTGATTCACTTTCTTGCTATAATAAAGAGCTCCATGTAATACATTGACAGAGTAATAGATTCAGATACTTTAGAAGGTTGGGAGAGAGAACAGTGACAAAAAGAAGTCACCGTAAAGAGGTTGAGCACACAGACATCTTTACATTTCACAGCCCCTGTGGAATCTGAGACCTCAAGTCAGATTCTGCACCTCCGCCTTGATTTCACTGCCTCTTGATCGCTAACAGTGAGCCCAGCACCCTCTTTATGATACTTTAAAAGACACTGCAGAAGGGCACTTTCAACTGAAAATAAAGGAAGCATGAATGTCCCAGGGGAGAACTGGGGTTGGATGTGAAGAACATAGACTGTATGTTATGTGCAGAGAACGTGTAGACTCATGTAAATAATGCTGTCTTTCATACAGCTTTTAAAAGTTTGCACATGAATGGTAAGAAAGTATTGTGTTCTCACAATTTTGCCTGCCTTGCCTAGTAAGATCCTTAATCATATTTATAATTTCTCTGTTCTTGCCATAGATTTTTAAAAGCATTTGTGCCAGGAATGACATTTTAGAGTAACTTTTTAAATTGCCTACAATAAATATATAGCATATTTTATCATTCTCAGACACACGATAAGAAAACACCGGATATCGTGTATTCATTTGTTCGGTCACCAAGCATATGTTTTGCCTACTAGTTTACAAACAAGATCTAATAAATAGAGTCATAAACTTAAGATAGGGTCCAATTTTTTCAGGGACCCGAGCGCAAAGGAAATTAAAATAATTAACAAATACATATATATATTACAATAAAAGTGCAATAGTTTATTATGGTAGAGAATTTCACTCATGATGAGGTTGGGGAGGGGGATGGTCAGAGAGTCCTTCATGGAGGAGGTAACATTTGAGATTAGAAGTATTGTGTTTCAAATCCTTGAGCTGCACTCCTCACTGAGAAACCAGAAAGCATAAACTATATCAGACAGCTTCACCAGCTTCGTAAACTTGGGAAAGTTATTGTACTCTCTGAACTTCAGCGTTCAGTGAGAGAGGATTGTTGCAAGGACTATAGGAGCCCTCCTGTGAACTGCTTTGCACAGTGCCTGGCACAGTGAAGCTCCTCAGAGCGGGTTGAGAGCCCATCCTCACTGTTCTCACTCTGATTGTAGGCATGTCATTTAATCTCCTTGAACTTCAGATTCTTATCTGGAGGACAGGAATGACCCTCCTTACTTCACAGGGCTTGTCATGAGAGACCGAATGCCACGCTGTGTTTGAGGGCTGCCGGTAAACTATAAGCTCTGTAAGAATCGTGTTTTAACTCTGCCTGTTTCTATTGCGATCCGCAGAACCACAAGCCTGGTGTAATTTTGTTAAGCTTGTGGCCCTAAGTATCACGATGCCTAGGGAGTAACTCTCAGCCAGCTCAGCCAACTTTCTAAAGAGACACTTTCATTTTTGGCATTTCTTCCTATCTCTCTAAGATCATCTGCCTGAAATAGCTATGTTAATGTAACATTTTATAGTAATGAAGCTGGAGATGTACCTACCCAGTATATTTAGGAAAGATTTGTGCTTTAGATTCTTTTCAACTAAAAATTGGATGTAGACTCTTTAAAACTGACCTATCATTCCTTCCTCTGTGTTAGAGCTGAAATTTATAGAGTTTTGTTTTGGCAATGTGCTACATAATAAATAAAGATTAAAATGATTAACGCAAAGTCAAATAATATCGATAATTATGATCCACAGCGCACAGCAGTGAACAGATGTCCTGGGACCCAGGAAGGGAAAGAGATTTCTGTATTGAACACTTTGTTCTCTCTCCAAAGAACTGTTTGATTTTTTTCTACCAGATTTGAAATCACGTCGAATCAGTAGTCTATGGACCTTCTTCAGTAATTCCTGTGTCTTAAGAAGAAAAACAAAAGCTGTAATGCTGTGAGGTCCTTTCTGGCCTGTACAGAAAACATTTGATTAATTCCAGGCTGAGCAGTTGAATTCAATCAAATGCAGCCTCCTTGCATGTGCAGGCATTCGCCAGGCAGTAACTAGAGCCCTATCCGTGTGTCCTGTACAGCAGACACCCAACAGACAGGTGTGCACTTGCCTCTCTGGGTGAGCAGGGACTCAAAGGCTTTCCTTCAGCACTTGTAACAAAATCCAAGCTGGCCACTGATTGGTCACCCAGGCTGAATTGGGGAACAGGTGTAGGAAGATCCTCTAGGGTTTCGGAATGTTTATTTTGGTCCTGTCTACAGCATGGAATCCACTTAGCACAGTGCCAGCTTTTAGTAAAACACTCAATGAATGTTAGTTGTTATTGTTAGCCATTCTGTGTTCTCCACTGGGATAAAGTTTGTGTAAGTTGTAAGCATACAACTCCACTGTCTTTGAGGAAGGTGTACTTGAAAGACAGCAGTGTCTCTTCTTACTAGTTGGTATGTAGCATTGAAACATTCCATTTAGTTTTATAAAATATATTGTGCACTACTTTGTCCTGCTGCTGTTCTAGACCCCAGGTGTTGGCAGGCTGGATGATATAAAAAAGTATAAGATCCTGGCTGGCATGGCTCAGCATCGACCTAGGATCCAGGAGATCGTGGTTTGATTCCAGGTCAGGGCACATGCCCGGGTTGCAGGCTCAATCCCCAGTAGGGAGCGTGCAAGAGGCAGCTGATCAATGACTCTCTCATCATTGATGTTTCTCTCTCTCCCTCCTCCCTCTCCCTTCCTCTCTCTGAAATCAATTAAAGACTTTTTTTTTTTTAAACATAGTTTAAGAACTCAGGAAATTTAGTCTCATGGGGAAAAAATAAGAAGCACACAGGCAATGTACTTTAGCAAGAGCATAAGGCAGTTTATAAATAAATGGTCAAACTCTGTGGCTTATACTCTGTGAACGAGGTTGTGTGTCAGAGTAGGGGAGGTCAGTGCCAGCTGGAGTAAGAGGGGCCAGAGCAAGGATTTCGCAGACCTGAAGTGGGCCCTGGAGCATGGGTCCATCTGCAGCAAGAAAAGCCAGAAGGCCACCCAGGGAATATAAACAAGTTAAGCTGACCTTGAAACCCATCTGTTGCTACTGGAGCTAGTTTGAGAGGCATTATATCATTAGAAAAGGAATTTTAAAAGACTCATAAATGTCCGTAGTATTGTAAGATATTAGAAGTAGCAAATACACACACTTCCTTTGTTTCTTGGCTTGATGATATCTTTATATATTATGAAAATATATTTAAAATCTGTACCTTTATATCTTCCTTCTGAGAGGCCCACTTGAAATAAACGTAAATCTAAGATCAGCATATGCTGTGTTGAGAGCCCGTGTCTATGAAAGCAGAACTTGCGTACTCCCTTCCGATAATTGGTTATCCAGGGCATGGGCTTTCTAAATTCCCTCCTGCAGTTGCGGTATCTCCCTATGGCCCTGTCACTGGCATATTCACCTGCATTTGAGTGGAGGTGAAGCTCAGCTTTCTTTTACTTTCTGTGAGCATCTTGGGATAAACCTGACCAAAGTTGGCTTTAGATATAGGTAAACTAGCTGTCCCCTGACCAGGTGAGTTGAGAGGAAGAGCTCCTCTTCCAAAGCGTGTCTGCTGTAGGAATACCTCAGAGTCTACCCTTAACTACTGATTCCCTTGGGGTTTGACATTTTTTCGCTATTAAAACAGGAGAGTGCCTTATT